GACTTAATTCGAGTCAACTCATTAGTTTGTATTCTTCATTGGTCGTAAAAAAACAATGTACAACATTACATAGCCATTACATTACATTAAAACAAAAAAGTATTTCAAACTATTTATATTCCAATAACATACTCCAACATTTCCAATCCGTGAATTACTTGTACTTTCTGTCATAATGAAAGGTGACTGTTCTTATTGGCCAAAATCTGTTTCATAACCAAAATCCGTATTGATGCACAATATTGACAAATAATCGGTGAAGCAGATATTAAATTCACGTACCTATGACGAGTAGAGGAAACTACATATAAATTCAACTTGGTTGCAATTTCAACAATATTTCGTTTTGGAACTATTCCTAATTTTGTTATTACGAATGTATATGACTGGCCTATTATAGGTAGGTCAATGGACGTATACATGTAAACGTATGTATATTTATGGAGATACCATGCAGTGCCTTTATGACATCCGACTGACGTGATGTTTTCACCTCTCCCTAAATCCTCCTGAACATATATTTAATATTGCTCATATTGCTTGAATTTTGGCATCGAATATCGTATATACTGAGCTTCAATGTCAACATGGTAGATCAAATACCTCAATGGGAATTGGGAAAACTTGTTTTCCTTTTGGAGGAATGTTTATTGATGAAAATATATCAGATCCCCGAAAATAATGAAAAATATGTACACCTCGGCTCATTTTCCCAAGACTTTAATAATTTTTCATATCTCGCTTGTATTCGAGGGTATGGAATTCCGACAGCCGTAACGAACCGACAAAAATTTTATTAACCCGATGGAAAAATAAACAGAAAATCTGCGAAACCGTAGACATATGACACCTGTCCCCGTGTCCATTCCCTGATCCATGCACGAAAAATATAGGCGGCTGTGAGAGCGATATTAGATCATAGAAAAAAACCAACATAGTTTGGGCCGGCTTCATGGAATGTTTGGTTAGCGCAAAACGTACGTGTATCATTTTTTTCAATCAATTTTTCACGAGACCGTTTTGTTCCTTCCATTGTTTGGATGGAAATTAATTGCTCAGCACCGATGTGACAACGATTTTTTACTCAATTATCCGGTTTATGGAGTTTATGAACATGATGTTCTCTGATCATCGGGGAAAGTTTTCGCTTTTCATTCAGTTTATCAGTTATAACGATTTTGATTGAGGCTGCCAGATTTCTTGGTTGTTATTGAAGATAGAGCCTTGCGGTTTTTACGTTCCTGTCTTCCTGTCCTGATTTGTTGACTTTTTCGTGAAACTGAAGATGGTTTAATCAGCTTTTGCATAACTATTTTCGTTATCCTCGTATGAGATACAGGGCGATTTCGATTCATGGACTGGACCCCTGCTATATCTACGAAGTTATTAGAAATCATATTGCGCTAAGAACTACGGCTAACAGGGAATTTTGAGCAGAATCCAGTGGCGTACTCTTTTTTTATTGGTGTATGGTTTTGGAGATACAGAGACTTATATATTTTGTATATTATTATCTTGTTTTATTGAATTCATTATTTTTTCCCTTTGAAATTATGTATGATACTTTTCACATAAGATTCCAGAAATCATAAAGTTTTACTTGAAAGATTATTATGTGTGATTCATTATATTTTATATTGAGTAGATACTTATATATGTTATCTTGTACATCTATTATGAACTATATGTAGATATTACTATTTATTTTTTGTTTTTAGATACCTACCTTTTATGATTCGCGTATAATAGTGAATTGTTAGTATTCTTTTTTCGCCTAATCACTTATTAAAAATATCACAAATCATAATTCTCCAATTGATACTTGTTAAAATAAAAATCCATGGCCCACTAGCAAGAATTCATCATAATTTAGTGTTTCAGTGATTTATCAGCATTGCTGGAAGCCCTATATGTATGTACAAAGTATTGTTATATTTCATATCGGATGAAAAAATAACGATGTCAACGAGATCATTAAATAACAGGGTGTTCCATTGAGAAATATATAAGTTTGTGTCGTATCTGCGAAACCGAACCCCGAAAAAAAATGTTTAGTAAGCCACTGAATTCTGCTAAAAATTTCCTGTTAGACGTAGATATCAGCGAAAAATTTATTCTAATAACTTCGAAAAGTGAATTTTCAAACTCGACCTGTATCTTTTGAACGGCAAACAGTTATACAAAATCTTGAATTCCACAAAACAGTAGGATAGGAACGTGAAAACCGCAAGGCTCTACCTTCAATTACAACCGAGAAACCTTGCATTCCCAACCAAAATGGGATGCACCTTAGATATAGTACGAAAAAATAAGTCAGCAGAAACACCACTCAGAATAAAAATAAGATTCACAAACACAACTCGAATATTGGTGTTACAAATTTCAGGTGAGGGGAAAAAACTATAATAATGGAAAACAAGTTACTAAGAACATGAATATGAAAATGTTTTTTTTTTTGAGATACAGATCGAATAAGGATATTATAACTTTGATTTATATTCTGATTACGCTGTATGAACTTTCTTCATGCATGACGAATTCACAATAGTCACTAATTCATTCATTCTCAGATCCTTGAGAATCAACCATTTTTTTTCAACGGTTCTTTCTTTGGAATGATAAAAATATGGATTTTATTTCCAGCTTTGACGCCCTGTATCCCGGAAACGAAACGTTTTCGGTCTCATGCTCACAGCAAAGTTTTTTTCATGTTCATGAGGACTTCTACCGCCTATATATTTCCAAATCTGTTCATCAGAATCTTTTTATCAAATAATAGAAAAGATAGTTCTGATACGATATTCAAATGTTCTCTTTACCTAATTGGAGTGAGCGTTAGACGCATGGATTAAAAACATGGAGCATAACAACATGATAGAATTCTAAATTTATTTCCCAATTTCATTTTCAGATTAAAAACCTGTAACTGGGAATTTTATTTTCCGAATTGAAACTTTCACCCGCGATATCGCGATACATTTCCGCCACCTTCCGACAATTAAGAAGGCAGGAACTTTTCCCTCCGGTCTTTCTGAGCACAATACCATAAACCGCATTCAAATCGGATCTGTACGAGAAAAATTGCTTTAATTTTCTCTAGATTCCTTCGAATAGTATTCTGAGGCTCACTTCTTATCGTGGACACATTTTCGGTATCCTGAAATGCATTAATCCACGGGAGAATTCGATTTTGATCGGGAAACACACGGCGAAAAGCGATTTTGAACCTGAACGGAAGGCACGCTGCAAACGGATGATCGAGCGCTTCTTCGACAAATAATAGTTATGCAGAGAAAAAATACGTTCTCCACCAGGCCACTTCATTATAGCGACTAAAGCAGCCTGGTTCATTAACTTCGAACTTTCCATTCCTTCTTTTTTTCAATATCATAGAATAGTCAGAAATGGAGCATGGAGCCTTTCAAAATCCATGCGCCTCCCGCGTGGCACAAGTTATATATCAGCCTTATAAAAATCAAACTGATAGCAAACAAAATATACCTCAACTCTTTCCCAAGCATGATCAGATTTCATGTAATTGATGAAAATGGTCAACCAAAAATTATAGACATGCTGACACGCTAGTGACAAAAGGCTCTTAAATCTGTTGATGTTGATGCAAATCATCAACTGTATGATGTAGATTTCAACTATTCAAAAATGATACGCGTACCACAAGCATGCTTTGAATGAATGTGAAAATTTCAGTCTCCCTTCACTTCATAATAAGAGGGTAAGGTATAGGTATAGGAAAAGTATTTCCAGGTAAAGATTCCACAAGTGAATATCCTGTAGAAATTATAATATTTCAATTTATCAATAAATCTACTCACCATTCACAGTTGAAGAAATGAGTGCTTCATTATTAAACGTTCAGCGTCAATTAATTTGGACAAATAACTGAACCAGTCTTTTATATGCTGATGACAAATATTTGATCAACTGTGGATGGTTTTAATATTATCATACATCTTTTTCTATCTCTATTTGTCGCATGTTTCACTCAATATATTCATCATTTGTTTGTAGGTGTTCCTGCATATTCATTTATTTTTTAAATATTTTTTCCTAATTCGTTCAGTCCATACATTGATCAGTCGGTCGGTCACTCACAATAACCAGGGGTCAACTTGAAGGTATTTAACAAATGCAGGAACGTAGTTTTCAGTTAATTTTTTTCTCGAGAATCAGCCATTTTGGAAATTCCAGATATCACAAATCCAACCGAAATCTAAATTGCCAATAAACAAAAGCAATTGAATATAGAGTGCCTCCGCATTCAGGCGATGAATTTGAAGGTCAACTGATTATTTAAAATCAGGACTTTTTGAACACAACTCATTTCAGATACCTCATTCAATCTATTTCTATCCAGGTTGATAACTCTTCATGAAAAAACTGTCTTTTTTTCTCATTTTTTATCATAGCAGTTACTGGGGAAATATATAATTCAGTTTCGGGACACCCTGTATATTACTTTGCTCAAGATTGTATAGGGTGGCCCAGATTCTTTGGTATTTATGGCTCTCTCTTAAGAACTGGATTACCAATAACGCAAAAGCCAGCTCAGAACACCATTAACATTTTTGTGTTAGAAAGTTATGCAAATACGGTCGAATTCGGTTCAGCCTGTATGTTGATGTTACTCAAATTCCAAAACGGCAGATTCGTTGACGTTACTTGTAGTTTTTATGTATGTGTAAATAGTGATAATAAATGTATGTGTTCGAACTTCCAATAACGATGTTCTCTAGAAACAAGAAGTTGAAATCGTCAGAATCTAATTCTAGATTCAACATATTTCTTTTTGAATTTTTTCATCTATTGCTCACTCAAAACCCTACCAACTCAGATGTGGTCACATAATTACCGGTATGTCTTTTTGAATCTCTTTTTAACATTTTTCGCTTTCTTGTTCTTGATGTTTTTTACAAAATCTTGATGTTCCAATCCGAGTAGGTACTTCGAATAGCAAAACTTATTATTCTTGTTATATACAGGGGTGCCACATCCAAGAGTCCGACGATGAATCACAGTCCAACACTGTACGGGGATCATATGTCAACAAATGTTCAGGTAAGAAGTGTGACTTGAAGATGTTGAACACCATGCTGTGACTAATTCAAAATAGTTCATGCAGGCATCGCTGATGGAGGAAAATAACTTGGCATTTTTGACCAGCTCTTCCATGATGGTCAACCGACATCGAGATAGGTCAGAGTCACCTCAGCATGATCATCTGATCAGGTAAGAAAAGAATATATCGATATTAGACTAGACATTTCAATGTTTTGGGGCTTCGGGAGCTTGGGTGGGGTTGAAGAAATGAATCAGTCAGCTTTGATGCGGGTCTCGTACTTTTAACTCCCATATTGATGATAATGTGTGTCAGTTACACCAGATACACTTCCGTAATTCAGAGAACGTTATTCGATTCAATATATTCAGATTGGGAGAAGATGACTTTGATAATTTGACATTGCATAATCGTGGATTCAGATGGATGGAACCATGATGAAATTAATAGGCATATCTGGAATTGTCAGGGAACCACACATGTATTAAAAAAACTTAACTGAGTTTAGTTCCCACCATATACCAACACAGCCACCCAAATGTATCCCTGGTCTCTTGCTTTCTAGATGCTAGAACTCTTGTTCAAACAATCTACGTACCTATCTATATGCCACTGCACTCTTTCCACTAAGTGGCTCGAAAGGCTAGATTGTCCTATGGAAACTCTGCTTTATACAATTGAATCGTAGTAGTGTTTGTGAATTGATTGTCATCGGCTGGCCTATAGTTCAATGGATGAATCTGTCTGTCTGTGTCCTGCATGAACTGACAATGGATTCAAGGAAAAACCGTGGAATCTCTCAAAATCCTGGGTTTCTCACCAACTTCTTCGATATATTCGGCTATCTCTTTTTCTGGCCCAGCAGCCTCATTTGGATCTTGGATCATATTCGGAGTGATTTTGTAGCTGGTGTGGAATTGAAAGTGGAGTGACAACTACTCAGCTATCCTTTTCTAACTTCTTCATGGTTCATTCTTGATTGTACCATGCTGATTCGATATTTCCTTTCCATCACATACCTATACATGGTGTCTGGTAAGGTCATGTCGTAGATGATAGGGCTGATAGAGTGAGATTGAATAATGTTAGTACTTCATATAAAAAAATGTATATCGCACTTCGTTACGGAGTTATTGACCGTGAATGTTTCTGCAAGTCCATACATAACGATGGAAACTTGTTATTTTCCTCTAATCGTACATCTAAAAACAAATGAAGTTTTACCACTATCATTTAAGACATGACCTTACCGGACACCCTGTATATTGGACAATATCAAGCAAGAGTTCTCCACCGTGCGGATTATCGATGGAATGGAGTTAATGATTTCACAATGGAGTGAAGTAATGTGAAAACTTTAATAGATACGTGAACTCTAGTGCTCTCAGGTTTAAATTGACTTCGTTAGAGTTGAGCCATTGATAAGGAATTCCGGAAGATAAAATTCTCGGATCACGGATTGAAGAGCGCATGCTTCAGCTCTTTCAGCTCCTATGTCTGGTACTCAAGTAAACAATTCTGCTGGTTGTAGTTATCGCTAGTATTGCGAAAATAGTTATTTCGGATTGGGTTGAGGAAAAAAGACTCACGTACTGGTCTGATCCACCAGGATTGGCAGTTCAGAGGCGTTGCTACCATAACCATCAAGGTACAGAACCAAGCAGATCCTAAAACGTCATAGGACTAATCTGCGATTTCTGACAGGACTGCTTACAGCCCCCTACAGGTCGTTCTGCTGTCTAAGATTACACCTAGGAAGGATAGTTCCAAATCAGCAAACAGACTGTCGATCCTGCCGTTGTGGAAGACAATTAATTGCAGTTGAACACTTTTAGGCTGTGTCCAGTCGTTCGTCCGACCACAGTGGTATTACCAGAATGGTCAATGGCTGTCCCATTAGAAGTTCACGTGGTAACTTCGTGGGCAGGTTTGAAACATGACCAATATGTCGGGGGTAACGGTCAGACTGATGTTCAGACTTCATACTGAACGTATGTGCACGGTCAAACCAGAGACTTGACACACCCTTATCATAATGTTCATCATGCTCTGCTCGTTCAGCTGGACCTTTGTTCGAGGCATTTTGTTTCATGAATGCAGATCCTCTAAAACCTTCAGATAATGTCTCCTTATTCAGCCTTGGACTCGAGTGGAAAGTACTGGATTATTGTCAACTGTAACCTCTAAGGGGGTAACTCTGCTGGCAGGAGAATAGGCTTACAATGTTATTGTTACATTATGATTTCAAAATCCGTAAGTGATCAATCAGATATACAGTGTGTCTCACTTCTAATGGAAACACCTCTGTATCTTACGTATTCGTTGAGTGAGGATCCTGATCTATGATCAAGTGGGGTCATCTTTAGTGATATACACTGCTCGTCAACAGCAGTCAATTTCCGGAAAATGATATTAGGAGGCAAAATAGGTTGAAAATAACTTTGGATTCGGAATCAGGACACCCAATTCACTAACTATTCATATTTTCCCTGTGAAATTTTCATTTCTGAAAATTTCATTGTTGTCTCATTTTTCATGGAAACACCGCTGTACCTTACATTGGGTAAGGATCTTGAAATTTGCTGGAGCGAGAGGTATACCAAAAATGCACTATATGGCCAAGTGAGTCATCTTCAGTGATATACACTGCTTGCCAACAGCCATGGAACCAGCCCAATTTGTGGAAAATGATATAATAAGGAGGCAAAATAGGTTGACAATCACATCGAATTCGGAATTGGGGCGCCCAATTCACTGACTATTCATATTTTTCGGGAAAAAAATGTCAGTACTGAAAACTTAATTTTTATCACTTCATGGAAACACCACCGTATCTTATGTAATTATCGAGTTAGGATTGTTGAATCTTCAGGAAATATTCCGAATAACAGTCAATGGCCAATTGAAATTACCATCAGTGATATACACTGTTCGCTAGCAGCCATGGAACCACCGCCTACATGTCCGGAAAATCATATTGGCAGACAAGATCACTTCCGATTCCATAACAGAAAACAGAACGTTCAATTCACTAACTACTCATATTCCTTCAGAAAATTTTTAGTTCTGAAATAATGAATTCTGTCTCACTTTTCATGGAAGCACCCCAGTAACTTACGTAGGAGTCTGAATTCGTTAGGAGCAGCAAAGATACCAATGACCAAGAAGAATCATCTTCAATGATATACTGTTCGCCAGCAGCCACAGAACCACCGATATTTCAGAAGGAAAATTCGAAAAATTCCCTCCATGGTTGTTCTGAAATTGATAATCATAAAGTGAGTTCTTATCAGGGATAATGAAATAACAATCGTATAGATTATCATGAGTGATAAAATGGATCAGAAATCATGACGGGTGTCATTGATATAAATTATGAATGAATGAATTCGTTAATAGTATGATGAAAGAAATCGTGACCGATAATAATGCGGCCAAACATGGGAGGTTATTGAATTGGACATCCTGTTCTTGAACTCGAAGTGATTTTCAACCTATATTGTCTCTTGATATCATTTTCCGGACGTGTGTGTAGTTCCACGGCTGTTGACGAGCAGTGTATATCACTGAAGATTATCCTACTTGGTCATATAGAGAACATTTTTGGCAAATTTCAGGATCCTTACCCAACGAATACGTGAGATACAGGGGTGTTTCCATTAGAAGTGAGACACACTGTATAGTTCTTAGTTTTCGTTTCATTAACACGGACGTAAAGAAAACAAAGTTCATCACCATTCCATGAAGCTTTCTAACAGAAACAGACTGTTTCTTAGACTTTCGAAATGAGATTTCTTCTTTCCATTTTCCACCCTAACCCTTTCCTGTCACATATTACACTTCTAGCAGCTGTTGGTTTACCTTTATCTGGGTTCTAGTTGAGCTGATGCCTTTCTTTTCGGTGTTTCCGACTCTTTCACCAAAAAACAATATTCCTTATATCGCCTAACGTTCTGGGATTACGGTGCTGGCTCTGTTTACACTGCAACATACTGTATCTTTGTGCATGGTTATCCAGACATCTCTTTAGGTCGCCGATGAATGGAGGACTCCACGTCAAACAGGAAATGTTGCACCAAGACCATCACATAAGCCGCGAATCAGAAATGCACCACGTGATCAAGCGAGAAATGCTCTCGGAATACGACGATTTGGATCACGATCAGCACAGTTCAGAAAATGTGGCTGAAGATCTCACCATAGCGTCCGATCACACAGAATCGAACATTGCCGACGCATAGTGATAAAGTAGTGTTCAGTGGCGACTCGAATCGTACTTAAATTGAAACAGTTCAGAAAATGGACTTGCGCAGAACGGTTCTATGGAACTATGGCGGCGATAGCGGTTGGTTTCGAATGGGATGAGAGCAATGGGACCTGTAAATTCGTGTGTACATATTGAAAAATGTTATTTTGAATGCGAGTGTGATGTTTTATGGTACTGTTAATTGTTTTAGACAGAAGGATTGTCGAATGTTTTATCAGAATGGATCTTGGTTTCCTTTATTGATTAATACAGGGTTATTTGTTATGTGGTGGACTCTTCTTGGCTAGGCCAAAGATTAATTTAGACATAAAATGTTGATAGGGGGGTGAATCATTTTTCAAGTGACTAAAAGTTTTTTATATTCGATATAATTCGGAAACACTCGATATATATTTCAAAGGGAAAATGCAGAATCCACACAAACACATCAAGTTGTTACCTATATGTAGTGCGATGGTTCCAAGACTTCAAATATTTCATCGCTTGATGCGTATTCGAGTTGGAATGATTTTTTGCGAACCTCAAATGTTTTCAGATAATATTCCATTCCAATTTCCTTGAATTTTTGCACAACTTCATGATTTTTTTTATTCATGAAAATTCCACATCTTCGTACACTTTGAAAACGAATATTTTCGACTGTATTTCACAACAATTCTTGATCATAAGACTTTGTGACTAAGGTACCAGTTTTAAAATTCTTGCCATATTGGCACTCAGTACATAAGGTACAAATTGTACTGACGCAGCCGCATAATTATTGACTTTGTGTGCCAATATGGCGGGAAATTCGAAACTGTGCGTTATTACCCACTGGGCGTTATTACCCACAGGAACGTATATACCGTATTGTGAAACCTGGAACAAATCAGAATCTTTTTGTTTTCGCAGTGATGGTAAATATAGCCAATCTGAATTTTCGATCACTATAAAGTATTATTGAAAAGTCGAGTGAAATGAATTAGAATTTGAATATACATATCAGGAATATTGTTTCGTTACCATGAGAAGACCCAATATCATAGCTATCCATTCTTCAAAATTATATACCTATAGTATGAAAATCAAATTTATTGCGGCGACAGAATCGGAAGGATGAGTCGTTTGAATTTTCCAGCAAAAATACAGATTATATAACGTATTTCATACTGCTCTTTCGAATGTTGGTAAATTTTTTGATTTTTCCTCTTCTTTATTATCATTGATATATATCAAACAAGATAACCTGTTGTAACAAAAATATTCGGGCCATCTGATCAATTTAATTACTGAAAAATCGGCTGCAAAAAAGTTTGAGTCTGCTCATAAGTGATAATAGTCCATGTCACCTCTCATAGAGAAGTACGATCAAATTAGTCATCTATAGATAGGTATTCTATTTTTCATGTGATCAATATCTTCCGAATTGGAATGACTGTTAAGGCATGTTAAGGATTCAACGAATGTAATACGACGAGTCCTCCGTATTTTGTCGGTAATTTTTTTATTTTCCACCAAAACTTGTTCATTTGGCAAAAATATGGAAACAAACCGTCCATCAGGACGAGTGATTTCATCTTTATCTATTTGTTTGAATGCTTTCGCCTCTTATAAAGGAGTTTTAGTTAAGAAAATTAAAAAACATTTGAAAGAAAAAACAATTCACTTCACTAGCAAATTTGTTCAAGTCGAATTCAAATGGTGATGTGATCTGTGTTGCATACATCTGCGGTGACTACAAGCGAGTTTCGTTACGTCGTGTATGTATACAATCTTTTTAGAAAATAAAACGTTTGTGTAATTATGTTGAATGACAACGTTTTAATATTTCAAAATACTGATTAAGAGAATCATGATGTCATACGCAGGTGAATCTAATTGATTTTGACAATTCAATATGAAAACAAGGTTTTATTGAGGAGGAGCAGTTTTATCGTATAATATTGAATGATTGATCAGAATCACGCATTGAGGTTGGAAGAAATCACTGAAATGTGAAAAAAATAATCAACTCAAAAAACCACATTCTGATTCGCGTGGACTCTAGGTCTTGGACACCTTATTGATATTGATACGTTTTCAGGTTTTATCCATTATAATGATTGAAAACGATAAGAGTCGATGTATTCGATGGTAGGTTCTTTGAAATTCTTTCAGCATTTGAAAAATGATTTACTCAATATAATCGCACCGAAATTGGAATTAGCATATCATTTGCTATGTGCGCGCTATAGAGAAGGCAAAGGTGCGAATAAATGCCAAATTGCTCATATTATTTGTTTGAAAACAGTGGCGTAGCTTCATTTGCATTTAACAATAGCAGATATAATAAGCTCGAGATCTACTAGTTATCTTTACTGAAACAGAATAAGGATTTTGGGTGTATTAAGACTTCAACGATTACCTATATTTTTTCGCATTTGTACCTATAGTATCAATAATCAAGCTATCAAGCTTTTGAATTTTTCATTATACTTCCAGTCATCTTGTCGATAAAACAGTATTATTACTATTTAGATCAAAATAAATATAAATGTAGAAAAGAAAAAAATTTATGACGAACACAAATCCATGTATGATGAACGCATCAGTTCTAGGTAAGTGTGAATATCACAGTATTTCTGATGAACATAACAATCATGTTGTCTAATTTGAGTACCAACATTTTATTACGCCAATTATCTTCTCGATGTAATTTTGATACACAAGTTATCAATTTGAGAAAGATGGGTATTTCATAATCTAATTTCGTTCAATTTCTAACAATTATGCAGGGGCGTCATTTCATTGTATAATAGGGGTAAGGGGGGCAAGAAACTGAGAGAACATTTTTTGTATGTTATCAAAAGCGCCGCGGACGAATTTTTTTCGGAGTTCAAGGTCAATTGCGAATAAGACTGTTCCAGCGAAATTCGAAAAATATTTTTCTTTTATCGAAAAGAAGGACTTTCGCCTTCGCCAATTATTGCAAACAATAATGATTGAATTAGACTCGCGTCTGGGGAGTAGGCGTCACGAATTAAAATGATTCAGGTAATATCGTATATGTCGGTGGAATCGAGCCGGAAAAAATAGCTAACCATTATCGGCCCCAAAAGTGAACGCTTCTACAGTCTTTTTTCAATTAAACACTTCAAAAATAAAAAATTAAGTAGTAGTAAGATTTGAGCCCGGAACATTGGCGTATCAGCCAGTACGATATTCTATAGACCATTTCTGGCGAAATTATGTATAAAACAATTATACAGGAAGTATACCGATGTCTCGCCTCGCGAGCGCAACTTTTGCATATTGGTCTAAATTTGTGTCCATGTTACTCCCTACTCGTGAAGAAGTTGCTACAAAGTAACCTTTGCTATTTTTAATTTCTCAGTATTTGCCAAATTGGCGTTCTGCATATCATTATATTTTATTTTTTTGCTTGCATTATATAGGTATTGAAGAGAAATTACACCTCATCTTTGAAAATTTTCAGCATATTCATGTACCTACAAAAATATATACAGGGCATTTTTCGAGTGTCATTTCAGTGTTCGATTCTTCACGATATCTCAATAATAATTTCTTCTGAAACTATACCGATCAATTTTCAAAACATATTTTTTCAAGTTACTCTCTCAGTAATTTTCTCCGTATAAAAAAGGAACGCCAATTAGTTTTTTAATATGTTAACGAGTTATTTAATTTCCAAACTACTCCATAATGGCTTGAGCAAACCGCGATTTCTATAGGAAAGTTTTGGCCGGTACAAACAACAATACCGAATGAAAATAGTCTAACAACAAATTGAAATAATATGTAGCTACTCTTCACAAACGTAGAGTGAAAAATATCTATATATAGCAATGAACGTTCAAATTCATTTTGACAAATGTATTTTGACAAATATATTTTTTTATTTTTGGATGTATGACTAATTGATATTCATCATACAGGACGTGGAAAGAAATTCAGAATTTTTTTTCATGTTCATAATTTATCTGCGAATATTCTTTTTCAGTGATTTTTTTTTAATTTTCATCACTTTGTATTGCTGAGCTTGTGTGTGTAGATATAAAAACTGTTTTCCATTCTTCATTCATAAGAAATAACCGGACCGTGCTAAAGAGACCCTGTACACCAATAGTATTTTTTTCATGAAGCTACGCCACTATTTAAAGAACCGTTGCGCTCATGTAGTGATGTAAAATAAGCAATATTTGTAAATTATTATCGTTGAGCATCCGTGCTATTATATTCTATCTTTACGGGAAATATTAAATTCCATATCATTATCTAAAATTAAAAAAAATCATATATCAGTGTATAAATAGTAGTGAAATACGTTTTCGTATACATAATAATAAATACATCTAGCTAATTTCCGAAATATTCGAATGGCTCACTTCGAACTGTACTTAACACTATTTATTTTGTTCATTAACAATTTCACTGGGGCTTCAAGCTTATCCCATACATAATATTGTTGTCCATCGTGGTAAGTATCTCCCTTCTGGTAAAAATCTTTGCTAAAATCATACTGCACACTTACTGTTCAGAATCTTTCAACGAAAACTCATTTCTGATATAAAAAAAAAACTAAGTGTTTTTTTTTTGTAAAATTCGTCAAGATCCGTTGAATTATGTTCTTGGAAAAGCATTTCTGACAGTCATGTCAACCCCCGTTAACTTATTGCAAATAGTAATACATGTTTTCAAATGCTTCTACCAACCAATGTTGATAGATTTGGAAATAATTCGCTTCTGATGTTGATTTCTTCTCAATATTTGCTCAGTAATTCAAGAACTATATTACAAATTTCAATCATTCATTTTCTAACGATTGTAGAAATTCAATTTTTGTATTCAACCCGCCCAAGTATTTCATGAAGAGTACCTCGTAGTTTTATAATGAAGTTTGAAATAACTGAAATTTTTCTTTTTTCGCAAAATGCTATACAGAGTGTCCCAGCGGATTCATATAATCAGAAGTAAAAAAATAATTCTTCAAGTAGC